ATATTGCAATCATTCTTTTTATATATTACATGTATCACTTGTGTTATTTTTGCCACGATATATAATGCATTATAATGCAGACAAATCACTCTAGGATCCATCAATGTTCCTACATTGTACTCCCTACTGGAGTACAGTCTGGGGGCTGTTTTTTTTATTCACCTCCCCTCTCCTCATGTAATCTTGTTTCTCTGAGTTTTCCTATAGTCCCCTGTCTTCCTGACCTGTCTACCCCCTATAATGTGATGTTTGTATATGTATGGTCGGGTTGATGGCCTGCTTTTCGCTGGTACTTGTGACTAGTAACATGGTGAATTGCAACAGCAATAAAGGGAATTAATCAATCAATCAATATTGTATTTGCACAATATGAACATGATCACTCTCGTTAAAATCTTTAAAACCACAACCTTAGCCCGTAAGGTAGGTCCATAGCGTTTTAGAGTACATTAATGAAAACACAATTACATAAAATATTACCATCGGTGTATGGTGAACATAATAATCATTACTCCTCCGAGCCGCTATGCGGCAACCGCCTGACTCGTTTTAAGCTTTAACATACAAGGGTGGTTTCTCTTTCCATGAGTAACAGCTGATCTGTGCTCACGTCGATGAACTAAATAAGAACCGATTGTGAATCTGTGATCCTTTACCGTATTCGGAACGAGAGCCATATTTAGTGTAAACATTAGGACTGGTCTGGGATCAGATTGTGGGTGCTCACTGAGTCGCAGGTCTTCATAATGAGAACTAGAAATACAGACGACATGTACGTATCACAATGCGGTTCGTTTTGCACGTTATAATGTCTGACTGAAGTTTAGTTACGAGGATGTTTCTTTTAGCTGTTGCAGTGGTTTTTCTAACTTTGCATTTCCGTTAATCAGAATATCTTTAGCCATAAGGTAACATAGTAGCATACTACGCAAACTTACGATCCGGATCGGAATTTGAAAACTCCGCCTAATGCTAGTGCCAGTTCCTCAGTCGTCACTTGGTTCTAGCTCAGAAACAAGTTGCTTATGGTTTGGTAAAAAAATAGATGTTATAATAATATATTTGCAGAAAGGTTATGAGAATAATAACTTGGTTAACTATAAAAGTAAAGTACGGTTCTACTATAAAGTTCTACAAGTTATGCACGAGTACGACGAAATTTAATATTAGCCTCCGTAAATGCCATACATAGGCCTATAGCATGTATAGAGCTGTTCGATTATGGCAAAAATCATAATCACGATTATTATGACCTATATTGAGATCCTGATTATTTACCACAATTACTCTTGACAGGAGACACATTGTATTTATTGGGTCTTAATAATGAAACTTACACAATTATATTGAAATTGAACTGAAACCAAAATAAAACTTCAATAAGATAACATACGTTGAACTTGTACAAATATACTATTAAAATGAATAAATAAATTATACTGAGATGAACTGTTCTCTGAGGTTCAAAAACACTTATCTTAATTTTTTCCCCAACTATACATATTACAGTCAACTGATATAAAAAAAAGTGCAACTTAAAGAGTTTTATAGAGAAAAACTATTCTGTTTACATGATCTGGCTTCAGTGATGCACGATGGCAGGAGACAATATGCCCAGCTGTGCTGAAGACCCTCCATATTGCTAAATAATATATAATGGCATCCGTTATATCTCGGTGTTTTTGAGAACTTGACGGATACGCGGTTGCATTATAGATGGTGTCCTTACACGAGTTGATGAGCTTGCCTCACATTCCTGAGTTTTTTGTTCACGTATAGTTTGGTCATAGACCACTTCATGATTAAGCTTTAAGTGGTCAAATAAATTGGTCGTGTTTCGTTGTGGTGCAGACACAGCTTTGAAACATATTATGCAAATTATTTGCTGCTGTTCTTTCCTTGAAACCAAAATGATTCTAAATAACTGATGTGCGTTTACCTCTTTTGTCGACCAAAGGTACCCGTCCTGCCATTTCGACCGTGAACGCGTTCTGACTGCTGTGCTGTAGGTAATTCGCTGACGGCGTTTAGGGAGGGGCGACGCTGAAAAATTAGTGCGCCAATCTGGATTTATTGCGCAAAATAAAGTAGGGCATAATTTCAATACGAGATACAAAGGTCGTTTTTCTCGATTATAATTTTTTATATATATAATCGTGGGAAGCCATAATCGTAATCGTGATTCAAATTCGATTAATTACACATTGTATATACGGATAACAATAAATAACATAGCCTATTAACATATGGCTGTGGGGTAGAAGCTGTTCTTCAGTCTGGCTGAGGGGCCGCGTATTGTGTGATATTTTTTACCTGATGGCTAAAGGTTGAATATACTATATCCCGGCTGTTGGGTCGCAGGTGATCTTGAAGGCACTCTGGAGGCAGCAGTTGTTGTAGAGGCTCTCGATGTCTGGTAGAAGTATAGTCCAATGGTATGTCAGCTGTTTTGACGATGCATTGCAGGAACTAATAATATACTTTAGGCACTGTTAATAATATTATAGACCACCCATAATAATGTTAATATTAATAATAGGCCACCCAGCCAGTTTCTGTGCCTCATACCTATATGCTGTCTTGTCATTGTTGGAGATTTGCCATATCACAGGTGTGGTTTCTGCACATTTTATGATAGTATTTGAGGTCGAGGTGGTGTGCATAGAACGGCAGACTCAGAACAGAACCCTGCAAAGCTCCTCTGCTGAGCATTAAGGTTTCAAAGAGGTTGGTGCCCAGTTTAACAATCATCATCCACTGATTAAAAAATGCAGAACCCAGTTGAATCCTGAGCTGAAGTTGCCAAACTGCATTCTCATGTAAGTGATTTGGTGCATTGTGCAATGATGGTGGTGAAATGCACCTTTTCTACAACCCAGCTGGCAAAAAAACGAAGTTCATTCACAGTGTTTTATTATCAGCTGTAGCGTTTATTTGCAACTACATGACTCAGCTTTTTTTTTTTAATAACTCTAAGTTTCTTTTTTCATCTTGGAAACTGCATTTTTACTATATTTGGTTACGACAAAACAACAGTGAAGAGCTTGGAATAACGAGGCAGTTTTTTTTTAATAGTGAAATGTATATGTATGTATACTACTTGTATATAAAACATTGCCCTTTTACTTGGTTCCTTTCATGAGATCAGCACACATGTTGTTTCTGAGCCTCAAAAAAGGCATTTTTTCACTTAATTGGGAAGAAAGTACTCTCTATCAGCTTTCAAACGAAAAAAGTGTTGTTAATCAAAGGGGTGTCGGAGTTACTAGGCCTTGTACCGACAAAAGAAATCACTGAAACTATGGACTAATCTCACTCACTTTTAATCCATGTCTTTCATCACAATAGCTTCTGATGTAGCTGAAGTTTACCCTAAAGCGTGCAAACTGTTTTGTGGGACTTTTCAGAGAATTTCTCCTTTGTCTCGCAAACTGAAGTGAAAGCTTAACACTGGTTAAGTTTGCAGGCCACATTACACCAGATCTTTTCTTATATTGATGTATTCAAGTATGGCTCTGATCACATAAATGGAATAACATTTTTTGGTGCTCTTCTGAGAGCTGAAAAGACTGGAAAATTGCACCAGAAATGTTTAGTGTAGACAGATAACAATGCAAATTTACACCTTGTTTTATTCCATGAAATTCTGAGGACATTTGTTTCAAAGTTAAAACGGGTATTTCAGGGTAATTTCTGTGTATAATCAGTACTGTGCAAAAGTCTTAGGCAGTCAAAGAAAATGTTTAAAAATAAATTTATCTGCATAGGAAGTGAATATTTGCTAGGAAAAATAAGCAAAGCACAAATTGACATAGGAACATTTGCAAATGGACAGTAACACGATAAACAGTAACAATAAAACAACAAATAACAATAAAAATTCTTCTGTTCTCCAGAAAGTAACTGCTGTCTTGGAAGGCTAGAAGAAAACTACTTTTCTCACCAAAGCTCACGCTTCTCACAGGCACCCCAGCCATTGAATTTCACCACCAGTTCAATTAATTACATACTTAACATAACTTGTTGAGGTATTGATTGCCCAAAAATGGTATGCTAGTGATTGAGTCAGCAAATACAAGTATATTGGATTGTTTTGGCAAATATTGGGCTGACTTTAAGAGAAGCTACATCTTTATTCTGTAGTCATGCAGTTCTGCTAAAGTCTTGCATCTGATACCACATCCCTACACTTGGTAAAATTGACTAAGTTAAAACGGAAGCAATATCATATTAATCAAAAATAGAAATAATAGTCGTATATGTTTATAGGTTAATGAAGAGACTGCATTTCTGGTCTTTCTCTTAGGGATGGATGAATATGTTGCAAACCTTGCTAACGTTAGTGTCGCAGTTTCTTAACAGCCTCTGACCACAATCTATATATTTCCTCATTTTTGAACATCACTTTTTTTCTTGTCACAAACGTTCTGTGTCCATTGTGAATTTGATTGTTGCTCTGCCAATGTCCCTGGGTAAGTCACAGTTTCTCTTTTACTTAAAACTGTTCTTGCTTCTTGCTTTTTTGACCTGCATTACATTAATTTAATTTTAATCAGTTAAATTCAGAGTGCACAAGCTGAAATATATTTGTTAAGACTAGTAGCTGTCTCAGTTAGAGTTCTGTGTTTTAGCATGAAGTTTTTCTCACAAGAAGTGAGCTGGTTATTCTTAAATTTATCAATGTTGGTGATATTTTTACCATGAGGGAGGGATTTCATTTGTAGTGTTTGGCTACTGAGGCTAGTGTAAAAACAAAGCTTTAACATTTCTAATGTTTGATAACGATGGCAAAACCCTGTCACGTTGAGAAGAGAACTTATTGTGTAATATTGTTTATTAAATTGCATGAATTGCCCAAATAGTCTTAAAAAACGTTTTGTAGCAGACATCTGTTCTTTTAATGTTCTTATCATTGACTATTTATCAGAGCCATATGTATTGCAAAAAATTTAATTGATTTGAGATCAAACCATGCTTTTGTATTCATGGAAACCTAACATCAATGTGCAGGACTGAAGGATTTACAGACATCATAGTTTTGTGCCATACATCAGATTGTTGGTCTCTTTTCCTATTAACTCATTTTTCTTTTCAAAATGTAAAAATCTATTTGCTTCATTACATACTAGATTTAGATTGTATCACATAATTTGATATATCACACGCTTGATCATTTATATATAACTACTGAAACTGAATTACGGTGGGGTTACGTTCCGATTAACCCATTGTAAGTGGAAAATACTGCGAAGGGAGGAGCATCTGTAACTTCCTGTCATCTGGTATAAAGTTCCGTATTGGCTTACACATTTAGCAATATTATATTACGCTACCCACCCTGACCAAATTTTGTGTTGTTTCTTTAAGAGCTTGTTTCTTATTATCTTTTTTTGATGTTTAAAAATGGATGGTGCCACAGGTGCATTTGTCATTGGGCAATTGCCTGATTGTAATGATACTGATATGGTGGAACACCTGATTATAGCCTGAAAGAAGATGCAAGGATCAGTAGTTGTGGTCAAAAAAATGTTACAATATAGGTTGGTTCAAACAGTGCAACAGGAAAGACAGATGTACTCTGGACTATAGGGGGACATTTTGAATTGACTTATATTCTTCAGATGGTAAACCATTTTTATATAGGGTTATAGTCAAGTCGCTTTGTCATTTTACATACATGAAACAAAATTGCTTTTCTGTGGAGCAGCACACAGCCAGAACAGGGAACATCTAAAAAAACAGTAGACAATGAACAAAAAATACTGGCAAGGAGAATTAATATGTATTAAGTATGAAATAAATAAAACATAAAAGAATACACATGAAAATAGAAGGAAAAACAGTACACACCAATACACAACAATGACAACAACACTGACACAGCAAATACAGACAACAGTGCAAATAACAGAAAAAGTGTAGTGCAAATGTGCATTTTGTCAGTGTTTATGAGGTAAGTGGGAGTTGAGAAGTTCAATAGCTTGGGGCAAAATGTTTGCAGAACCTGGTGGTGGTTGATCTAAACAATAGAAAGTATAATAATTCAGTCCACTTAGTTTACAATTCAAATGGAAGCTATACAAAGAAGGCTAAAGTACAGGAAACAAAAAGTATGTCTGCTATGTCATCTTTGGAGGCTGTATAAGGGGTCAGACATCATCGTGCTCAGATGCATGCTGTGCGTGTTGGGTCACAGGTGTGATGGCGAGGTGCAGGTCTTCCCCCTGCACCACAGACTGGACTTGCTGGAGGCTTGTGCCGACTTGGTCAATGCAGAGTGGCCTCGTAGCCGTGCTGCCCGGATCCACGGATTACAGAAGTCCTGCCAGAACTTTCCTGTGTGCCTAGTTCTTCTGGAGCGAGCCGCTGATGAGGAGCAGCTGCTCGGCCATGCCAGGCTCTCTCGAGTTGTCGGACAATGTGGCAGCCTGTTCGTGGAGACCGTGGTGGTTTGCCAGGCTCAGCGGGGAAAAGGCTACGGTCGCAAGCTGATGGAGGCTTCCGAGCGCTATGCCAGGACCAGGGGCTTCCGGAGATTGTGCTTGACCACACACGACAAGCAGCATTTCTATGCACACCTTGGGTATGTGCTTTCTAAGCCAGTCCAGAACGCTGGAGCCATGACCTCCTTCATGCCCATGGAGGTTCTGCAGAAGTTTTCCAGGATACAGGACACAGTGTGTTCATTTGGACCTCCGAGGAGCTCCGCTAGACAAGGTCTTCAGAAGAACCTGCCGTCAAACTCGGAACCAGATCCTCCTCAAGTTTCTTGTCAAACTGAAATCCTCTGTCCTAAACCACTTGCTGTTCCGTCTCAACCAAGCAACCAACCTCCTCAACCTCCTCCGCCACCTCCTGCTCCACCACTGCCTCCACAACTTCCTGCCACCTGTCACCCGATTCCTCCAGTAGCCCAAAGTCAGAGCAAAACGCAAACCCTATACACCCCATACAGAGATGCTAAGGGGATGCCAATCTACTGGATGCATAAGGACATTTAACTGTGATTACGACCTACAACAATCGTCACAGAAAAATGAGAGGTTCAAGACAAATGTCAAAGGTTGCTGACCCCAGTGTGCTAATTGAATACATTTGGCAAATGAAAAGCAAAACAGCTACGATAAAATTAATAGTACCCACACCTTGGAGTACCTGGAAATTCCAGAAGCTCACATTCACTTTGTCTTTGGAAATTAATTATACACTTTAAAAACTGTAATTTTGCTTGTAATAAATGAAAGTGAGTTGAGTCCTGTTTCTGTGTCCTCTTTTTTGGATGTATCAACCATGAGTTCAAAAATATTTCTGCAATAATGAAACTGGAATTCAGTTCTGTGTTATAGACAAATGATTGTATTGAAATGTGTTATTAGAAGCTATATAATCACAATGTTAATATGTGTGTTTGTGCATGTGCATATGTGCGTTTGTCTTTCAGGAAAAACAGTGCAGCACGCAAACCGGCTCCTGGGTCAGAGCGCAATCATGGTGATGATCAGGTCACCTCTTGTTTTACACATCCTCGGCCAGCTGCTTTTCTGCAGCGGCATTGTGTGGGCTTTTCCTGGAACTCGCACGGAGAGCCATGCCACTGCTGATCCCAGACTTGACGCCCGGCCTTTCACTGTGGTATGGAACATGCCCACAGCCAAATGCCAGGAGAAGTATGGGGTCGACCTGGATCTGAGTGCCTTTGACATCATTGCGAACCATCATGAGAAATTTCAGGGCCAGAACATGACTGTTTTCTACTACAATAAATTAGGGTTATACCCCTATATCTCTAAAGAGGGAGACCAGGTGAATGGTGGTGTCCCACAGCAGAGTAATTTGCAAGCACACCTCAGCAAGGCCAAGGCTGAGATTGAGGACCTGCTTAAGCCAGGCTTCCATGGACTGGCTGTAATTGACTGGGAGAAGTGGCACCCCCTTTGGGTACGTAATTTCAGTGCAAAGAAAAAGTATAAGCTGCTCTCTGAACAGCTTGTTATGGAAGAGCATCCAGATATTTCCAGGCGGGAGGTGCTATTTTTGGCCTGCCGAGAGTTTGAGAGGAGTGCAAAGCAGTTCATGTCTGGTACCCTTCAGCTTGGTGCTGACACACGGCCTGCTGGGCTCTGGGGTTTCTATGGATTCCCTGCCTGTTACAACTACCACAAAGGGCAGCACAGCCTCAACTACACAGGACACTGCCACCCGAAGGCCATGGAGTGGAACAGTCGCCTGGACTGGCTGTGGAACCACTCCAACGCCCTGTACCCAAGCATCTACCTCCCTCTCCAGCTGGCTGGGTCACCAAATTCCACCCTCATGGTTCGCTATCGAATCCTGGAAGCCCTAAGGGTAGCATCATATTATTCTATATCACCAAAAGCCAAACCTGTGCTACCCTATGCTAGGGTGGCATTTGTTCACACTCTTCGGTTCCTGAACAAGGTACTGTTTGAACTTGTGTATAGTGACCTATATAATGTGATCTCTAATGAACAAAAAGCAATTGAACCTAATTGGATGCAAGGATTCCTTTTTATGTTCTCCCTGTGTCGTTGTGTGGTTCCTCTGGCTACTCCAGTTTCCTCCCACTGTCCAAAAACAGGCTAAAGTTAATAGGAGTTGCCAAATTGTCCATGTGTGTGAATGGGGTGTATGAATCTGCCCTGCGATGGGTTGGCATTTGGGATAGGCTCCGGACCCACCACAACCCTGTCCAGGACAAGTGGATATAGAAGATGGGTGGGTGGATTCCTTTTATGATCATACAAAGACAATTTACTAAATTTTAGATAAATATCAGGCCTTATGTAAAATAACATGTTATGTTAGCGTCTCCTTGGTGACAATGGAAAACTAGCAGCAATATACAAAAGTAATATACAAAAATGCTCCTAGCATTCAGTATAGCAAACCTGTTTGGCATCCATGACATGAAGGGAGTTCTGTACAGGCTGCATGTTAATGCTTCAGAACCTGTGCCCAGTTATTCCATCAAAAGCACCTTTTGCGTGTCTGTTATTTTAAACACAGTGCATTACATTTGTTGCTAAACTAGATCTATTGCCTAATTCTTTGGAACTGCATTCCATGAAGAAAGGTCTCAGATTACCAGACCACATGCAGATAAGTGTAAAGCTGGGGCGGAAGTGAATGTTGTTGCTTTTTTTCTGGCATGTGGGTTGACAGTCAGTGTGTGGCTATTCTGGTGCAGGTCTGACTGGGTTTTTTCTGCAGATAGACCTGGATCACACACTGGGAGAAGCTGCGGCCCTCGGAGCAGCAGGGGTGGTGCTATGGGGAGAGCTACGTTTTGCCAAATCAAAGGTTAGGCTCTTGCTTTCTTAAAGTCACTTTCAATGCTGATGTGTATGTAAAAATATTAACTTTCATACAGTGGGCTGGTTATTTTACGAGGGGTTGAATCACATTTGGTGATGAAATACACTATATGGACAAAAGTATTGGGACAGATCAGGTGTTGAATTTAGGTGTTTCTTTCAGACCCATTGCCACAGGTGTATAAAATCAAACTCCTAGCCATGCAGTTAGGTTTACATACATTTGTGAAAGAATGGGTCATTCTGAAGAGCTCAGTGAATTCAAGCATGGTACTGTCACAGGATGCCACCTTTGCAATAAGTCAGCTTGTGAAAATTCTTCCGTGCTAGGCATTCCAGTGTCTACTATAGGTGGTATTATTGCATAGTGGTAGCGTTTAGGAACAACAGAAACTCAGCAGCAAAGTTGTGGACCATGTAAAGTAGCAGCGGGGTCACTGAGTGTTGAGGCGCATAGTGCGTAAAGGTAACAAACACTGTATGGACTCAATAACTGCAGAGTTCCAAACTCCCTCTGGCATTAACCCCAGCACAAAAACTGCGTGCCGGGAGACTCATGGAATGGGCTTCCATGGCCGAGCAGCTGCATGCAAGCCGCACGTCACCAAGCGCAAATACTGCTGTAAAGCATGCCGCCACTGTACTCTGGAGCAGTGGAAACGTGTTCAGTGACAAATCACGTTTCTCTGGCAGTCTGATGGATGAGTCTGGGTTTGGTGGATGCCAGGAGAATGATATTTGTATTGTGCCAACTGTAAGGTTTGGTGGAGGAGAGATGATGGTATGGGGTATTTTTTTCAAGGTTGGCCTAGGCCCCTTACTTCTAGTGTAGGGAACTCTTAATGTTTCAGCATAGCATGACGTTTTGGACAAGTCTATGATTTGTAGGAACAGTTTGGGGAAGGCCCTTTTCTATTCAAGGCCCAGAAAAACATGGTTGGGTAAGCTTGGTGTGGAAGCACTTGACTGGCCCACATAGAGCCCTGACCTCACCCCCATCAAACACCTTTGGGATGAAACAGAATGGAGATTGTGAGCCAGGCCTTCACATCAACATCAGTGCCTGACCTCACAAATGCTCTTCTGGATGAATGGGGAAAAATTCCCACAGACACACTCCAAAATTGTTTTTATAGCTTCAAAGAGGTACCAACTCCATATTTATGCCTATGGATTTAGAATGGGATGTCATAAAATTTCCTGTAGATGTAATAGCCAGGTGTAGCCAATACTATTTTCCATATAGTGTATATATGGTTGTTTACTCTTGTACCTGTGTGATTGTATCACTATGTGTCCTACCTCTATCCAGCACCAGTGCCAGCTCCTGAAGAATTACGTGGACCAAGTCCTGGGGAAGTTTGTGCAGAACTTAAAACATGCGGCTTGGCACTGCAGTGATAGGCTCTGCAGTGGGAAAGGTCGTTGCACCCGACGAGACCCCCTGTCGGGACACACCCTGCACCAACCTGATGCCCACCCATCCAGCGTCTCTGGGAGGCTGCCAGCCAATAGCACCCAGCTTGGCTTGGCTTTCCGATGTGTGTGCTACCGGGGCTGGACTGGGGAACAGTGTCAGGAAAGGATGCTTTAAAGGACATTCTTAGGCAGGCTGATAGAAAAGCATTTGTATTTTAGATCAGGAAATCTGGCACATGTATAATGTTCCAAATATATTCTATTTATATACTTTCAAATTATTTACGCTGTATCAAGATACTTAAAAATACATCCAAAATTTAAAGCCAAATGTAAAATACTTCCATGAATTGTGTTTGTGTGCATATGGATTAATTAAAGCCTGACATTTTGCATTGCAATTGTATAAAATTTATTTAATCTGCAATTAACTCACATAAGTAAATTAATATACTGATACAACCTTTTCCAAAATGTATCATAACAGGGTAACTGATGTAAATGCTTGAGATTCTTCTTTAGTGATGGAGACTACATGTCCCGGCCCCAAGTCCGACCCTCAGAAGTTCCAGAAGGTAATGCGCCTGCTATCCACTGCTGGAGGTCAGGTTGCTGTGCAGCTCCTCGATAAGTCGAGAAATCTTCAAGGTGATCTCCTGCCTCTCCCTCATCCCCTGGAAGAGTGCTTGCAGGACACTGCCCTGCTGGACTAGGGATGGAAGAAGGTGTAGTTCAAATATCTGAGTGGGGATCATGTGCATGTTGGTGCCCATATCAGACATTACACAAAGTGAAATGTTGTAGTCCATGCTTGTCAAATCTTATTAGTGGTTTAGTACAAAATGCTGTCACTTCATTCTCTGGGGTTGGCAACGACAGCTTACACTTGGTTTTTAAAATGTGTCTTGGGAAATCAGACCACAGGTAGACGGCCGAGACACATCGCTGTTTACACCTGTGTCTGGTCCAGCTGATTGTATTTGGATTTTGTTATTGCCTGACACAGGTATTATGACATCCTGGTTGGGGACACATCAGCAAGCATTAGCATTTACACTACAAAAGATATGTGGTAAAATGTATCCTAGATCATCTCAGCAAATGGTCTGAGTGATCAGATCACAATGTGTCTTGGTGATCATTTACACTTGCATTTAGCACTGTCTATTTGCCATCCAATTGCCCAAGATGCATTTTAAAACCAAGTGTAAACAGGGCCTTAGTTACAGCTACCTTTGCTACCCCACCATCAGCACCACCACCATATAATCCTGTTCAGCAGATAGGTGTTAGCAAATAGTAAAAAAGTAAATAGGGTAACTCATGATGATGCAAGGATTCAAACAAAGGTATTCTTACCTAAGAAGCAAAAAATCATTCCAATTGTCACCAACAGCAAGGCTATTGCCATGCATCCACACGAGTATCGAGAATCTGTAGCTGAGAAGTATCTGAAGATCCTTTTCCGCCAACAGGATTTCGCTGCATGACCAGTATGAGAGACAACAGGCCTTTCTTGAAGGTTCCCATTGGTGGAGTGGCCCTGGTGTAGTCGATTACTTCCTTTATACAACAGGGATAGAATAAAGGTTCAGTTTGTCCAGTGACTTGATTAGTAAGAGCTTCACTCAGAATGTGAGAGAATATTATTTGACATAACTGTTTACTCCTCAGTCTGGTATGATGTGCAGGTGTCATGTGGATATTGATGGATTTTACACTGACTCCAAAATCACTTATCAGTCTGACCCCTGAGAGGAACGTGGAAGTAAATATATGTATTTGCATGCAATCACTGCATAGAATTTTGAAAAGCAGAACAAATTTCCCACAAATTGTATTATGAATTATAGATATGTGTAACAGCTTGAATTTGAACTTATAAAACAGGTCTCACACATGCCAATTCTGGTAATATGCCTTATTACAAAGTGGTCTGGAGAGTTGCCATTTATTCAATAGTCATGGGATTGACTTGTTATTATTACTACAGTAGTTTTCTACCGTACCTTTACTGAAATGCTCTACATGCAAGTCATTGATGGAATCCACGGAATGTAGCTCAATTTCGGATAAGTCCCCATCATTGATCCGGATAAAATCCGGCATCACGGTGGGTGGGGTCTTTATCATAGTCTTTGCATAAAGGACAATAAGAAAACCAGAAGAAACAGGATGTATTATCAAAAACAAAACCTGCTTTGTTACTTTATAAATAACAATCATTATGCATTTTAATTGACACTGTACTTTTTGCCCGGTCTTCATTTAATTTCCACTTAATTTAAATGACTGGTAGATAACAGTGAGGATCAGAGGTCTGTAGATTATCCTTACTTGTGATTTTTGCTTTGTGCTGTTGCAATTTCTATAACTACAGCAGATGAATTAGCCAAATATCACGGTCTAAGAAACAGAACACAGCATACAGGCCCCCAAAGGGCAGATTATACGGAGATAGTATTCTTCACATTTTACAAAAACTGAATCACCGTTGTCTAAATGTCAGACAAGAGTTATTGTCACACCTCGCCCTTTCGTTAAATGTTACATTATTTGAAATGAAACATTTTTCATACGGTGGGGCTGATAAACTTTTTCTTAGAATAAACAGCTCTTGTAATAATTATAAATCGACAGTAATAAAATATACTCATTAAATCCACAGAACATTATTATATGCAGGTCATCCTCTAAACATAACAGCCCTGTTATCTGTGTCTGGTGTCTCAGCCCATTTCCTTTCCAACAGGTTTACAGGCTACTTTCCAACATCTGTCACTAACTGGTACGCAGTGTCCTTCCTTCTGCTAAAACTGCAGCCCTCCTAAATTATGTCTGAATGCAGAATACTGCCATGTAGTTCCCCCCAAATTTCACCTCAGTCTAAAGCATGCCTTTCCCTCGTCATGGATCTTACCGTCTGGGAAGTTTTTCTCACAACCTCATCTAGTACAAGTTGTCAGAGGAATGCGACTAGATACAAGACTCTGTTCCCAAAAGACACTTTCAAGATCTGGGAATGGTGCATTTAGGGAAAAAAACGCGGCGGATCCTCAGAAATATACGTCAAATATCCAAAATCAGTATGGACGTAGTCTTTGATGCATTTATGCAGATATCAGAGGACAGCCCCAGTTCCCCACTATCGCTTTCCCAGCTCAAAGTTAGCCTAGTGCCGGCCAGAAGGTCCGCTCCTAATATAGCGAGTGGAATGCGGACTTATTTATAGCTATACTGACCAAAGGAATGATTCGATTATCCAAGTGGAAACCGTTTGCACAAAACAAAGAGCTAAACAAAAGTTATCCCAGATCAACGACAGATTGGTTAATTTAAAATGTGCTGTTTCATTTCCATATATCACATATAGGCCTAATGTAGTCTGCTTTGCACAATATTTTATTCATCAAACAATCTGAATATGTTGAGCTGGCAAATAGTTAAGGCTTGTCCAGTATACAGTTATCCGGATAAAACAAAAAAACAATTCAGTTTAGCACCACGTTTTAGGTGAAATGAATCTTCTATCATACCTTAACTTACATCAGGACGCAAACAGCTTGGTAATAAATTTGTCAATTTTAGTTTAAACCATCGGTTATGGAATAATCAAATCAACCAATACTTTCCCCCCCCTCTAACAACACTTGGATTGAAGTAATGCATTTGACGGTTTCTTTAATTTGTTAGTAATTAACATGAACGTTTCAAAGTTTGTTGTTTTATTAATAATTTAGCAACAAAATGTTAAGTCGGTTTTCATATTTTAAAAAAACTTACATCGTCAGCAGGTGGAGTGGTAGAGCAGGGAAAAAGCTAGATACGCATGGAGGAGAGTATATGTATTAAAGCAGGAGTATTATAATAACGTGTTATAAAACGCCGTGTTATAATCAGCGTAATATTTTATACAATTTGAATTTTTGAAAATGAAGATGCGCCTTATTGCAGTGTTGCCGTTAACGGAAAACAAAGTCAAGATAACGATTGAGTAAGATGTGAACCATATTCAGACTACATTTCCCGTGGTTCCTCAGTCTACTTCGGCATCACTATGGTTTTGCACCGAGGTCACAAAGTTGGGCACCACCATACTGTAGTTGTTTTGTGCTGCAAGGAAGACAAGATGTTGTCGCGGATGTTGCCGAGGTACTTGCTGGAATCCAGGTTCAGAATACAGAGAAAAGTCCTGGAGAGTATAACGTCTGGAACCGTAATACATAAGAGGCATGCTTCAGCTTCAGAGGTAGGAAGTCAGCTCCGGCAAAAAAAAGAAAGTGATTAGAACAAATCGCTTTGGTTTTGTTCATGACATTTAATAACTATTTCTTTCTGGTAGACCGAGAGTATTTCACGATCGACAGCATAAGTCGCAGTATTTTATTATGTTTTGTATAAGCGATGTTTTTTGGATACAGCATACTTCCGTAGGCAAGTCAATGTCCATAACTATTTAACCATTAATAACATGATCCAGTTACGACTTGTTCTGGCAGTCACAGAGCTGGAATCGCTCCACCATCTTTTCTTTTCTTTTTTTGTTTTAAGACGTTGCTTTTAATTAATGTTATAGTAATGCATTTAGTGCAAAGCAGTTTTATAATTCAAAGATTTATTTACATTTATTTAGCAGACTGTCTTGTTTTTTGTTAAGTTCGAAGCAGCTTGGGCTAATGAAACTAATTACGTTTACATGAAAATACTTAATTTGGCTACCTTAAACAACACGACTCAGTCTTCACTATTGAAAATGTAAGATGTCATCTGCTGAGTGAAAATGAATGCCTGGACCCTGGGTTTTATTGGAACATTGTTAGTAGGGAGTCCTGATCACTTTTTACTGCCTACTTAAACTGTTGTATGAAAAGTTCAAAAGTCTATTAGGATATATTAACAGAATGACCCTTGATGATGTATAGTGGATGAACAGCAATGACATACTATGCATGGAATATCTGTGTGTAGAAGACTGCGCTCTGCAGATAATACGTTGTCCGCTTTCCCTGCTCACTTGACTTTGGACCCATTTCGCAAGTCACTTTTAAGAGCCGTCATTGGTCCCCTTGTTTTGGTTGATAAGCCCTAAGCAGATCCCCAGTTGCCGGATCAAAGAGCACCAATATCTGTAAAATGACTGTGAGATTAAGCTTTGCTGATTGCTTTATTAGACTTCACTGGTTGAATTAAGCGGTGTCTTATTGCACCGTCGTCAATCTTGCATCTTGGGTCTGAGGACATCATGAGTGGCACATCTGCATTTTGCCACAATCTTCTGTGTCCAGAACCCCTTGAAGAAGACGGAGCTGTTTGAGTTCCACCGGCAGCAGGGGGCTAAGATGGTGGAGTTTGCTGGCTGGATCATGCCTGTGCAGTACAAGGACAGCCACATCATCTCTCA